GGAAAGTGAAATCCTTTCACTTTTATTCTTGACCCATGAAAATTAGAATAGAATAGAATAGAATAGAATAGAATAGGATTCTTTATTGGCCAAGTGTGATTGGACACACAAGGAATTTGACTTCGGTGCATATGCTCTCAGTGTACATAAAAGAAAAGATACATTTGTCAAGAATCATAAGGTACAACACTTAATGATAGTCATAGGGTACAAATAAGCAATCAAATCATAATACCATTAGCACATCTCGGTCAATCATGCATTGTGTTACTAACTTGGTCTTTGCATAGCCTCTCTTCTGAGACCCATCTGAGTTTATAAATGAAGCTACCTTGACAGAGTTAATTAACTGAGATTCTCCAGATCCAGGTTTCATGCATGTATGGAAGAGGTGAGCTTGGTTAGGAAACAGGACCTTTCTCTGAAGAAATAATTCTGTGGCCGCCATGCCAAATGTTTTTATCCTAATTTAGAGAGCAACCTTTGTTGAGAAATAAATAAATTACAAGTCAACAATTGGATTCATACATTATAATAAATAAAAAAGATTTACCAGTTTAAGATGTGAATTCAGATATTTTAATTTTCAAATCCTGGTCATTTAGTGATGCACAAAGCATGAAGCCAGCTTACTGTGGCTTATTCTGTAACATGTGAACTCAGAATCTGTGTTCATGAAGAGCAAGGAAGAACCAGCATGAATTTGCCTGTGGTACTAAACTTACAATACATGTAAGCAGTTTCTTCATTTTTTTGGGTAAAAACAGAAAAAAAAACAGAAACATGTCTCACATACATAAGAATTAAAGCTCCTTGCGAATTAAAGCGCCGATACATATGTTGGTTTAGTTAGTCCCCCTTTGGTAACTATTTTAGTGGATGTTTTCCAAGATGTGATTGTGTCCAATTTATTTTTCATCATGTGCCATATAATGGCTGAGTTCACAGAAGACCTTTAACCTGATTATAAATTAAGCCACTTTCTGAGCTTCCATCACTCTGTATAATTGCTAACCAAATGGATTGGTCCGTGCAAGGGCCAATCAAAGCAAACATTTGACACCATGGATGAACGTGTTGTGAGAATGTAACCGCTAAACCCTTTGTCAGTGTATCAATGACTTCTTAACTCTGTGACTTCAAGAAATGTTTCCTGGGACTTTTCCAGAAAGAATGTCCCTTCCTGTTCAAGAATGGGACCCTGAAACTTGGCGGTGAGAAAGAACCTTTGCCTCGTCCCAAGAAGTGGCCAGCGGCCAACATTTTAGCTCCCGGAGGACAAAACATCCCAGAGGCTTTCATTGTTGGTGGGGCCTTTGAGGAGGAAGATGGAGAAATGAATACCCCAGAGGTGAGTTATGGAAGACCTGGAGAAGCAGATTCCTTAGAACAAGAGTTGTGGTCCTCCAGATATTGGTGCAGTACAATTCCTAGCTTTCTTCACCTTTGGCAAGACCGATCAGCGTCTGCAACCAGCAGTGTCCCAAATGCCACCTGCTCCATCTACCTGTGAGAACTACCATATTAGATCAATAGCAATAGCAGTAGACTTATATACCCCAGATCAGATCAATGGCTTCTTTATCCCTAGAGTCCTTTTTTTTCCTCTAGCAGGCAAGGATGAGCATAGATTTTGGAATGGTCATGAGAGCCATCCCCTTGGGAGATTCATTATGCAAAATGGGCAATATCAGTGGATAGCAAGGTTCCTCCAAGGCCAGCTGCCCCCTACCATTCTTCACGTTATTCTTCCTTCAGAAGAAAGATTGTCCCTGCTATTAGTTGTTCTTCTTTTTACTTTTTCTCTCTGTGTTAATTCCCCCCCCCCCAGTCCTGGGATGGTGAACCTACGGCACATGTGCCACAGGTGGCACATGGAGCCATTTGTCAGGGCACGTGAGGCATTGCCCTGTCAGCTGGCCAGCACGCATGCACGGGTTGGCCAGCTGATTTTAGCCTTTTTTTGAGGCCATTTTTTGGTCTCCCCAGGCTCCAGAGGCTTTACAGGAGCCTGAGGAGGGCAAAAACAGCCTCCTCCTCCCCCCCCCCCCCC